TAGGATTCATTTCATGTTATTTTCTATCGCACAATATCGCAAATTAGCCTCATGTGTCTTTACAGTGTGAACACATGTGACGTCCTCTGTCCAGAACCCTTCACATCGACAGGAAAAACTCCCCAAACAATGAAAGGTGTTTGATGAGGAGAATAAAGGGAAGAAACCTTTAGAGACACAGGACGGTCCTCCAGGGACGGACAGACGGCGATGGACGTGCAGAATGAACAACGTGAAATATGTATAATACATTAAATTCATCTGACAGAAATGATTCAAATGAACATGTTATCTCCTCATATGCCTTCATGATCATCTCCTGCTCTTCCTTTAACTTTATTTGCCGTTATACTGTTAACAAATCCTGGTTTCTGTGATCGACTCTTCCGCCTTCTGACGTGAGACGGTTATCCTGATGACTGAAGTCTGGTTCAAACTAACGAGACGTTTGAGCGCCGATCCGCCTTCAAGGAACCGAGATAGCCTGATGTCAATCATCCAATCATCTGGTAATCTGAGCTGGTACGAGGAACACGGCCCAGCAAGGGTGGAATAAATTAACAACATAGTGTACTGTGGAAACCTGTCTGACACGTATTTAGTAACAACTGTAACTCCCAGCAAGGTTTGAGGAGAGGTTAGCTTAGCATTTGTTTATTATGTTTACATCTACTGCATTCTTCAAATGTCTATGTTTACAGGTCTGTTTACATAACTTTATTTTACTGTTGTGTTTCTGTGTGTGTAAGGAACTTATGAAATTAAAAAAGATAAGCTTTTCCTCCACTTCCTTGCTTGTCATATGCACACGTTGTAGAGAGAAGTTAATACAGGAGTAAAATAATCCTTTTGATTAGTTCTTGTTAATACACATGCTGCAGCATTCTGAATCAAGTGGCTGAGAGAGCAGCTGCCTGATGAAAAAAGAAATTGCAGTAATCTAGTGTAGAATTTGGCGGTGGTGGGCTGCTCAGCGTTGTCGCCTCGCAAGAAGGTCACGTGTTCTAGAAAAGTCAGCGGTCTGCGTGGACTTTGCATGTTCTCCATCGGTCTGCGTGGGTTCTCTGTGGGTTCTCCGGTTTCCTCCCAACGACATGCTCTGAGGGTTAGGTTACTTGGTGACTCCATTTGTCAATGGTTGTGTATCTGCTAAGTCTACACTGCGATTGACTGGCGGTGTACCCAGTCTTTCACCAGCCTCTTCTCCACCCTCTAAAGCAGAGGTCACTAACAAATCGACCAATCGAGTCTTTGCATTTCCAGGATAATATCGTCTCAATACTGCAGCCAATGAGAGATAGCGGCTATTTATACAAATAAAAAAACGTTAGGAAGAAAAGATGGCAACATTTGAGAAAAAGATGGAGAAAGTGAGAAAGGGAAGGGTTTGAAAGTAAGGAACAAATGGCGCGCTCCAAAAACAGTAAAGTGGACAGCATTTAATGCAGAGTGGACGGACTGATTTCTGTTCATACCTCCTACTGGGAGCACTACTAAAAACATAAGATGCATTATTTATAATCGGGTTAATTAACTGTTAATCGAGTCCAAATGTGAAACTGAAAATATTTTTATCGTATTTTATTGTATATAAGGTGTATCTTTTTATTCTATTTTCTTCCCTGTACATGCTGCTGTGATACCAAAATTTCCCTCTTGAAGGATCAATAAATTATCAATCTATCTTAAAGGGGAAAATCTTTTCTTCCATTTATTATATTTTTCTCAATTGAAGCACTTCATGTGAACATGCAAAATTTTCACATTTTATTTATTTTGTTTTATTTTGAAATGCAGCCCTACTTTTATTTAGAGAACATTATTTATATTTGCAGTTATACATATATGTTCAGTTCTCAGTTACGTGACAATGAATATCAAAGCGTTTTTGTACTTGATTCATTTGATTAGTCAGTCGTGTAATGCTGATATGCAGATTTTAATACTCAATCCCTTTTGAGTCTAGTTGAGTTTAATCACACTAAATAGCTCCATTCTATTACATTACAGACCTTTGCACCCAGACATTTTCTCTAACTGGACCTCTTTAAGTTGAATACTCTGAAGGATAAGCGACATAGAATCACCAACAAGTCTACAAGTAACAATTGTGCCACAGTTTGAAGTCCTCAAATAAACCAGTCTAGTTAGAAAGTGACACAACTGGTTTGCGACGGCTTTCTCAGGGTTCTTAGAGGATCGGATCGGATCTGAGAGGTCTAGTTAGCCAACACCTCTGGATGAAGAGGAGGTTTCCACTCTGACTGGAAATGTAAATGTATAAAAACTGATGACTTCTTTTCTCTTCATCTAGATTTAGTTTTGGATTCTTTCGGCCTTTATTACAGGTTTATCGACACCTGTACTACATTTCAATTTCACACTACATTAGTATTGTACCACCAAATCAGAAGGATCTAGGCTAGTTTGGCAAGACAGCCTTAAAACGTATAAGAAGGCTCTCCGTAACACAAGAGCATCTTATTACTCATCATTAATAGAGAAAAATAAAAACAACTGCAGGTTTCTCTTCAGCACTGTATCCCGATTGACAGAGAGTCACAGCTCCGTCGAGCCGTGGATTCCTCTGGACCTCACTAGTAACGACTCCATGAACTTCTTCAATGATAAGATTCTGACTATCAAAGAGAAAATTGATGGTCTCCTGCCTTCAACCAGTGCCGACCTGTCCTCCGATGTAGGAACCTTGGATGCAGCAGTGGGCCCTGATGCCTGTTTGGATGCCTTCTCTTCCATCAACCTTGATCAACTGACTTCTTTATTTTCAAAGTCTAAATCTTCTACTTGTCTCTTTGATCCGATTCCGACCAAACTGCTTAAGGAAGTTTTTCCTTTAGTTAGCACATCCTTATTAGATATTATGAATCTGTCTTTGTTGACAGGACATGTACCACAGTCCTTCAAGGTAGCTGTAATTAAACCTCTTCTTAAGAAACCTACTCTTGCTCCAGAGGTGTTGGCTAACTACAGACCTATCTCTAATCTTCCCTTCCTCTCTAAGATCCTTGAGAAATCCGTTGCATATCAATTATGTGACTTTCTACAAAACAATGCTTTGTTCCAGGATTTCCAGTCAGGATTTCGAGCGCATCATAGTACAGAAACAGCACTGGTGAAAATTACGAATGATCTTCTACTTGCATCGGACCAAGGACTCATCTCTTTTCTTGTCTTGCTGGACCTCAGTGCCGCATTTGATACCATAGACCATTGTATCCTGTTGCAGAGACTAGAACATAATTGGTATCAAAGGAACTGCACTCAGCTGGTTTAAATCCTACTTATCGGATCGATCCCAGTTTGTGCTTGTAAACGGTGAATCCTCAAAGACCACCAATGTTGGTCACGGAGTCCCACAAGGTTCTGTACTTGGACCGATTTTATTTACCCTCTATATGCTTCCTTTGGGCAATTTTATCAGGAAACACTGCATAAACTTCCATTGTTATGCAGACGATACTCAACTGTATCTGTCGATCAAGCCAGAAGAGACGGACCAGTTAGTTAGACTTCAATAATGTCTTGGAGACATCAAAACTTGGATGACCGGCAACTTCCTGATGCTAAACTCAGAAAAAACGGAAGTTATCCTGATATTCCCAGAGCGCCTTGGAAGCCAGCTGTCACGTGATAACAGTTTTTATGGATGGAATCGCTCTGGTACCCAGCAGCACCGTCAGGAATCTGGGAGTTCTCTTCGACCAGGATATGACCTTCAACTCGCATATAAAGAAGACTTCAAGGACTGCCTATTTTCATCTACGTAACATATCAAAAATCAGGAACTTCCTGTCTCAAAGTGATGCAGAAAAATTAGTTCATGCGTTTGTCACTTCCAGACTGGACTACTGTAATTCTTTGTTATCAGGCTGCTCTTGTAAATCTCTTAAGCCTCTCCAGTTGATTCAGAATGCTGCAGCACGTGTATTAACAAGAACTAAGAAAAGGGATCATATTACTCCTGTATTAACTTCTCTGCACTGGCTCCCTGTTAAATCAAGAATAGAATTTAAAGGGTCGGGTTTTAAAAAGTAGACTGGGGGACAGAGCCTTCAGTTATCAAGCTCCTCTTTTGTGGAACCAGCTTCCACTTTCAGTCCGGGGGGCAGATTCGGTCAGCTCTTCACATAAACTCTTTTAAAGTAAAACTTAAAACGTTCCTCTTTGATTCTGCCTATAGTTAGGGCTGGCTCAGGTTAGTCCGGACCAGCCCTTAGTTAAGCTGCTATAGGCTTAGACTGCCGGGGGACTTCTTAGGACACACCGAGCTCCTCTCTCACGCTCTCGTTCTACCATAATTCAAGTTTTATTAATGCACATGACTAATTCAGCTTCTTTCCGGGAGTTTTTTTTTTGTGCTTTCTCCCCTATCAGGTCTCCGTAGATCATGGTTCCTTCGGGACCCTGGTCCTGACGTGGCCATGCTGACGCCTGCTGCTGCCATCATCATCATCATTGTCATCATCATTATTTTAGATATTAATCATATTACTGTACTCATAAACCGACATTACCCTCTCCTAAAGTCTCTGTGCTCTCCCTCCCCACAGGCTTCTGTGGATGGTGGTTCTATCTGATGGTGGTTGCCCCTGCAGTGGTCCTGCTGTGCGCCTGGCTTACTACTCACAATTACTTGAATCATTTCTGTCATAGGAATTGCATGTATTATACATTGTTCATCCTGTACACATGGCATCCATTGTAGTCTGTCCATCAGGAGACGGATCCCTCCTCTGACGTTCTCCCTAAGGTTTCTTCCCTTTTTTCCCTCTTGTAAGGGGTTTTTCACTTTTTGGGGAGTTTTTCCTGTGCCGATGGAGGGTTTCGGGGCAGAGGATGTCGTATGTGTACAGACTGTAAAGCCCTCTGAGGCAAAATTGTAATTTGCGATTATTTGCAGCTATTGTCTTAGAAGGAAGGTGTTGCACCACGGTTCGAATGATCAGGTCAAAAATGATGAAACACGTCAGCAGAAATCGTCCACTTGAATTCTCATATGACTTCTTTTAATTTATCAGAAATGAGGAAACATTCAACCACTTCCACATGTGCAGATGATATACACTTTAACATGTCATTGAAAACTACAATGTACGTGTTAGGAACAAAGCGTGTCCCTGCAGTGTGAGAACAGGAACCCTGTATGATGGCAGATCAAGTACGTTTCAAGTTGATGAGAAATATCGTTGCTTCCTGGTGTTGAGACATTAATAAGTGGTGTCCTTGTGTACGTTACAGTAACAAAGCGTATCATTAAGATAAGTGGAATTCAGGGGTCTATGTACAATGTATATGAGCAGATGTTAACTGTCCCATTGTCCAGGTATGTCTCAGTGCAGAAATGGCAGCAGAGCAGTGAGCCAGTGTCCCAACGGCGAGCCGCTCAGCCGCAGAAACACTTCATACATGGTGAGCGTCCACAGGTCGACGCACTCGGCCAGGGTGATCTGGATACGCCTCCTCCAGGACCGAGCCTTGCTCCTCCTGTGTCTGTCAGAGGAGCAAAAGGTCAAAGGTGAGTTCAAATTCAAGGTTAACAAATGCGCTCGTCTTCTCGTTGAATCCAAACACATGAGGGTGAAGGAGGTTTGTCGTACAGCCAAGTCCCTCCGGCCTTCCATTGGATGTTGCATGTGTACCGATTGTAAAGTCCTCTGAAGCAAATTAGTCATTTGCGATGTTGGGCTCTACAAAATAAAATCAATTGAATTGATCTCCGGGGGGGGTCGCAGGATATTTTATTAGGGTCTCATTTGCTCAATTCATGAAATACATAACTTGTGTTTAAGTAACATGGATCAAACAAAGCGGCTCAACTTTCCAAGAAAATACAAGGAAAAGTCAATAAAAATGGCCTTATGATGTATGAGGCATGTTGCAAACGCTAAACATCAGCGTGTTTGCATTGTGAGCCTGATGATATCAAAGCATAAAAAGTTGTATTGACTAAAGATAATTGTTGATATTGTGTTACTATTTCACCTGTTATACAATATCAAACTCTCATGGAGAGAAGACAAATACACAGTGATGGAGGGCTCAGTTTAGGAGAAAGAAAGTGGTTAATAAATAGCGTGAATCTAAATCATTGGCATCAATAAATTAATAAATAACAGAGCATTACTACAAGCTGGTAGCGACTAATAACCAAACAATAAATCACGTCTCATAATTGATATTCATGTTTCATGCTACTACTCCAGCCCCATATAACAGTACATATGAGGGGGGGGGTTGTGTGTCCACGAGTAGGAGGAGATTTGAGAAACGGAGGAAGGAGGAAGCGATATGTAGTAGAATGAAACACAAACAAATAACAGACTCTCGCCTGCAGATGTACCTTAGAAACAGGAATGTTTATGCAGTATTGCAGTATGTTGAGATAACATTGTATGGATGTAATCTCAAACACCAACATACATGGTTGTTCAGCATCTGTCCCTGGGATGTAAAGAGTTGACCATTTGGTTCTGACAGATCTACACTGGCAAATACCGATGAATGGACATGAAGAAGATGCTACGCTGCCCCACCCTACTTCTATGTGATGGGAGGGTATAAATGATTCCTCTCACAGTCGAAGCCATTCGGCAGTCCTTCCCATCATTACAAGAATTCTGTTCAAAAACGATTTCTGACTCAAACCTCATCTGTGACCAGTCTACCTCACTGTATTTCTATGCATGTGGAGTCGATTATCCTGCATGAAAATGAGGGTTTTCCTGAAAGAGGCCTATACCACTGATAGAGGTCATCTTTAATAATACCAGCCAGCGCCTCACCTATTCCTCCATAATGGCAATGAATCACCTTGCCATCAACCATCAGAGACTCACAGGTAAGTACATTCACTGGCTCACTGACGTGATATTAGTGGTAACAGCTTCCTGCGATACTGACAAGTGAAACACTCCAAAAAAACTAAACATTTCTGCAACATCCACTTGTTCTGGTCCGTGATCAGGAAAAAGATATTGGTGGGAATCGATAACTGCTCCTACCAGAATGTCAGAATAGCATCTGCTCAACAACACTTAACTCAGAACGACAATTTATTCACACAAATTACTGCACTGATATAAACTAAACTAGCTAATTAATGCCGTCTCACCTGGACACAGTAGACTACATTAGTTCAACTTTTTACACTCTGAGGCGTTTTTTTTGGGGGCTTCTGCTCTGAAAACTTCATACAGTGATAAAAAGAGTAAAAAGTCTTTCAATACTTTGTCTATCTGGACAATTATTTTATCAGGATAAAGATGATCCCTGTGAGTGTGAAATGAATCAATATAAGACACAAATGAAATGAAATCCCTTCCAGCCCTGTAGGTCTGATACAACATGAGCGACCAGGCTAGAGAGCAGCTACGTGTAGCCCAGAGTGGACAGTAATCATGGAAGGTTTCACAAAGATACTACCATAGAGGGGAGGTCTGTGCAGCCTCAGTGCGGCTCTGGTTGGCCGATTGGCATAGTTCACCCACTTCTTTTAATCACCTGATCCCATTGGATCCGACTAACCTCAGGTGAAGAAGAGCGACAGCTTTTTAAGCCGTTCAGAAGCCAAAACGGGTGGAGGCGTAAAATGGAAAGTGAGGATTGGCTGAACAAAAACCGCCCTAATTCCTAAAACCTGCTCAGAAGCACTGAAATTGCTTGTGGTACTCCTGTGATTCATTATTTTACAACAATTACTAACCCCTAACCAATGATTAAAACACTACGACACAATACATAAACAGCATGCTGGGTACAGCTGACCCGCTGTCACAACACGAAGAAACGTTACGTGAAAACAGGGAAAAGAGCAAGAGACCAGAGAAGCACCAACGCAACTTGTGCCCCGACAGGAGGGAGGTTTGGGGGGTGGTTTTGGTTTTATTTATTGCAAAGTTGGTCGAGCCTCTGGTGGCGACACTAGCAGCCGCAACCGCTAATATGCTAACAAGCAAACCGTCCTTTATGGCATCAATGAATGAATGTTTAGTTCAAATGTACCGCCATAAGATTAGAAAGGACTTTTATTTAAATCCGCCCAGCTGGATGCGGATCTTTGTAGACTGAACAGATGATTCGCTGTCTTATTTCACCAGAATCACTTCTGGTTTAAATACAGAGCGAGACAACATACAACATGTCCAATGATAAAATAAAAAAATGTACTAGTACGATTGCAATCTTTCTCACCTGGCCATGGCGCGCACGCAGCAGCGGGACATGTTGATGAAGGACGAGGAGGAGGCTCTGGTCTGTAAGGTGGTCTCAATGCCCCTGAGCAGGTCATTGGTCTTCAGCAACAGCAACATCTGCCGGGGAACTCGATTTAACAGCTCGCTGATCTGGGGCAGGTATTGAGATGCGTTGTTCCGAATCTCAACGTCCTGCCAAGGGACAAACCGGAACATCATTATGTACAAGTCAAGCGCTGTTCACCAACTGGCTAATGAGCCTCCCAACTGTCAATCAATGCCAATGTTAATATATGGGATTAACTGAGAAATCTCTTCCAAAACAAACAGCAGCAATTAAGAACATCGCAAAACATTTATTGAGTTAGCATTTGTAGCGAGTTGGTGGTGTAGCAGACGGCAGCGATCAGCCGCGGTTAGGACGGGACGCTGCAGTACGACGCTGACTTCATCCTCGCTCAGCATTAATTGGAAACTACTTCCTTCTGTCCTCACGTCTTCCTTGGGGAACAGTTGCGAGCCCTTATGATTACTTCCCATCTCTCCATGTCTACATTATTTATTAAAAAAACTAAAAGGTTAATAAATAGTCAACAACATAATATTCTATTCTGTAACTACTGGGGGCTGGTGTTCTGAAGTGTTCTGCTGAATCCTGCTTGGGGAATAACAATTAGGAGCAATTATAGGAGGTTGGTTAGCGGCCTCACAGCTGTCAGTAGGACGCAGGAAGGCGACGGGCTCTCATTTGCATCTGAAAGCTTCAATAAGGACATATTGTATTGAGAGTGGTGCGATAATAAGCCGTGCAAAAGGCAAAGGGAATGCAGTTGGAGGGGGATGGGGAGGTCTGTGTTGGTGATTTTCTCTTCTGCCCTGTGTATTAAATATGAGTTCATACAGGAGGCAGCAGACATGGGAAAATACTGGGTTGTGACCGAGAGAGAATTTCAGAATGCAGTAGAAGATATGCAGTGATAAAGGACATTTTCACGATGCGACTGTTCTCCAGGCAGAAAAAAATAGGCTTGACAAATGTCTTTGCTGACAGCGAGATTGTACATTTGGAAGGGAAACTCTGAGAAGTCAATGTTTTCCTGTAGTAAACGTCTAAGAGTTGAGCATGTGAGGCAGTTTTCTCCAGTTATTAACAGAGGGGTCAGTACAGTTTTTTGGGTTGTTGAACAGCACCTGAAGCATCTCTCCAGCTTTGTATGTATTACCTTTAGGAAGATTAGTGCCCCCTAAAGCTAATGGAGGTAAATAAATATAAACCAACTACAACAGATATCATAGAGCCTTTGGATTAAGGGTCCGTTTTTTTACAAGATATTGTCCTACCTGTATGTATCTTTATTGATACAAAAAGACAGACCACAGACCACATGCAGTCTGATGTCAAATGTCAAGAGCACACCAGAGCTGGACATCGTCATGTGTAGCCTACATTCAAAAGCTATTTTAGAGCATAGACAAGTATCTGTTGAGGAGGGGGAGGTCTGGGATGGAGGGTAGAGATGGAACAACTTCCCAGGTTCATCACCATCAAGTGTTCGTACCATTGGACCTCTTAAGGCAGCTAGTGGTGTTAGTGCTAGTGAGTGCTAGTGCAGCTAGTGGTGTGAGTGCTAGTGAGTGCTAGTGCAGCTAGTGGTGTGAGTGCTAGTGAGTGCTAGTGCAGCTAGTGGTGTGAGTGCTAGTGAGTGCTAGTGCAGCTAGTGGTGTTAGTGCTAGTGAGTGCTAGTGCAGCTAGTGGTGTGAGTGCTAGTGAGTGCTAGTGCAGCTAGTGGTGTTAGTGCTAGTGAGTGCTAGTGCAGCTAGTGGTGTTAGTGCTAGTGAGTGCTAGTGCAGCTAGTGGTGTTAGTGCTAGTGAGTGCTAGTGCAGCTAGTGGTGTGAGTGCTAGTGAGTGCTAGTGCAGCTAGTGGTGTGAGTGCTAGTGCAGCTAGTGGTGTTAGTGCTAGTGAGTGCTAGTGAGTGCTAGTGCAGCTAGTGGTGTTAGTGCTAGTGAGTGCTAGTGCAGCTAGTGGTGTTAGTGCTAGTGAGTGCTAGTGCAGCTAGTGGTGTTAGTGCTAGTGAGTGCTAGTGCAGCTAGTGGTGTTAGTGCTAGTGAGTGCTAGTGCAGCTAGTGGTGTTAGTGCTAGTGAGTGCTAGTGCAGCTAGTGGTGTTAGTGCTAGTGAGTGCTAGTGCAGCTAGTGGTGTTAGTGCTAGTGAGTGCTAGTGCAGCTAGTGAGAGTTACAAAATAGTGCATGTAGTAGAAATAGCAGTGTAAGTGAATGAATTAGATCGTTTTTTTCCAGATTATTTGGTGGCGAGCCACATAAATCAAAGCACTCAGAGAAAACAGTTCTATTGGCCGTTTTCTCATCAATGATTAGCCTCTATCAATAAAACTCAGTGTTTCCTGCAGATGTGTTACATCAAATGCCCACCTAGTAGAGAAGGAATGGTTTAAATGTAGATAATTGCTTTAAATGGAGGCGTTAAAGCATAGTTAACCGTTAACAAGTGCATAGTTAACTAATAATAACAGCATTAATAAAGGGATAATAATGCATAGTAAATGATTTATTAGCCTTAATAAGGCTTGTTCTCGCTTTAGATCCGGTAGCTGCATAAAGCATAGTTAACCGTTAACAAGTGCATAGTTAACTTATAATAGATGAGCAATAAAGTATATTTTAATATCAATAAGCAAACAAAAAGATTGATAAAGGCATAGCAAAAATGCTTATAAATGTGTTATAGCCTGCTATTAATTGTATTATAATGCCCTTATTAACACTTATATAGGCTTATAAATGTTAATAAGCATCTTGTAAGGACTTACAAGGGCCTTATTACCTATTAATTAATGGTTATTACAAGGACCTTAATATAAAGCGTTACCAATGAATAAGATAACAAGAGAGAGGAGATGTCAGTAGACATAAAGAAGAAGCAAAGCAGATGAGTGGTTGTGACCACAAAGGTCTTCTTCACTCTAGAGTGCAACACAATCAGCAAGTGTGTTCATGTAGAGGGCACTAGAGTGGAGTTCGCCAGATTGTGTGTGTGTGTGTGTGTGTGTGTGTGTGTTTGGTTAGCAGAGAGCTTTCATCTCAGCTAAAGTGGACGACACCTGGAGGAAGAAGAGCATGTCTTACATTGGAATACAACTATTAAATGATGAAAGCATAAAGATGCACAGAAGCGTCGTCGCTTTCCTAATTATCAATATGACTGTTGAGGTTCGGCAATATTCATGGTTTTGTTTGAAATAACAAGCCTTTGGGTTAATGCTAAGCACTGATCAAGGTCTCAAGCTGTAGGACTGCATCCTTCCCTTTCCAACAATCACCTTAACCATGTGACATGCTTCCTTCTGATTTGCTTATTTAAAAATATGACCAGAATTTATTAAAACCCCAAAAGAAGGCAAGCTGCACAGCATCATTTCAAAATGTTGCTGTGAATAATCAAGTAATCCAGAAAACTCAGTGTTTCATCAATGTTGACAGACGGCCCTAAATCCTCATAATGTGTTAAGATCATTAAGGCAGAAAAAAGGAAAAAAAGAGCACCAGACAGGAAACAATCAAGTACACTACATTGCTCCCTTTCTCTATCTCACACACACACACACGCGAACGATGCAGCAACATAAATCAGTTGGAATTGGTAAATTAAAGTAATTATATTTCTAATGCAGATGTTCTAGGTTTCCAACTGGTCCAATTCGGCTCCTTCAGGAACAAAAGGAAGTGGGATCAGCGATGAGGAGCCAGTAGGAACGGACAAGCAGGTTCTACAGACGGCAGAGTGCTAGGCGGCCACAGCGCCCACTCACGCCATTTTGTTAATGGGGGCCGTGACAAGAAGGTCTGGCAGCTGCAGACCACAAATATAGATGAAGCGATAACGTACAGCTGCTGCTCACATCGACCCCAGCGTTCCGTATCACTGCGCACTCAAAGTAACAGGTTACATTTGACCTGACCGCTAGTTGACGTTTCAGCTTTTCGGCGAAAAAAGACCCGTAAATCCCACAAACGATCAGTTAGGGGCAATGTGAGCTTTTGCAACCGGACAATAAAGGTGGACGTCATGAGCGAGGTCAATGAACGAGATGGTGGAACGCGGTTTACGTGCACGTACAGGAACTACTTTTCTCTACTGAAATGAGATACACAACGTTTGGTGACTACAACTATTTTGTGCTGAAAGGAAACTTATTTACTATTTGCCAGCCCACAAGAGAGTAACACGAGAAACAAACTCATTTAAATTTCAGTAACTGCGTTACTTGATTTAAAAAAAAGACTTTGTTACATGCTCGCTACCGCTAACAGTAGTGGAATTACAGTAACGCGTTACTCGGTCAGTCTGCAGCGACAAAACTACAGTTACTAACTACAAAAAAGCATCTTCATGTGTAATTACAGTCCTGAGTCATGCAGACAACATAAATAACCTGGTTCAAAGTATTACTTAACAAGGTTGCAATATAGTTGATATAAAATACTTACATGATCTATTTATATTTCTCCGTCATGATCGTTAATTCTCGGCCTAATGACAAGTTACTATTTAGATCTTACCGCCGCAAGGAATTGTGGGACGGATTTTCTCTTTCTATCATGGATCAGCCGAAGTAAAAAATATGATTTTTGACTTTTGATTTACGCGCATCGACATTTGATCAAACAAAGGACAAAGGATGCGGATGTTTGAAATCAAACATCCGCGAGCAAAAGTCTGTCTCGTGCAAGATATTTGCTCGCTCGCGGAACGATTTCCTATCAGAGGCTACTCCGGTAGCATGTCAGCAGTGAGTTTCAGTTGTTATGAGGGAACTGGTCTGCAGTCGGAACCAACACAGCGATCAGAACCAGTCCTTCAACGGCGTGTATTTATACTGCAACGTATGTACTGAACACTGAGACACCTTATAACAAAAACATATATTTGAATACATACGGTGTGTGTGTGGGTGGATATGGTATATGTGGACCTTTCACCTGATTACACACCAGCATTATGAGGACCTATATGGTATATACGGACCATGCTGAGGTCCTCATGAAACAACGAGTGTAAACGGCTTATAACTGTTGAAATAAGATACTTGTGGAAAGTCCTTTTGTACCATATGACCTGATTTTTGTGTGTCACAGTGTGTAGAACAGCCGTTCATGAGTGCTACTAATATTTTTCAGATGAAGTTGCATTGAGCGACGCTGATCACAGGGAGGGACCAGCCAGCCTGTAAATGCTGCATCCGACTCCGACAATCACCAAGCATGACTTTCAAGATGCAGGCAGGTTCCCTCACTTTATAGTTGTCGCTGTTGACCAAATGTACTTTGTGTATCTTCCAGGAAAAGCTGCTGGGTCCAGAAGAGGGACAAAGAGAGCGTGGTCTAAAGTTGAGGTTCAAGCAGTAATGCGGCACTTAAGACCATATTCGTAAAGGTCACCTGGCCACCAAGAACCAATGCAGTCGCTGCAGGTTGGTGGAAGGACCCGTCTTGGTCATTCACCTCATCATGATGTAATAATACTGTCAAGAGACGTCATACATTCTGAATGGCCGAAACCTTCAAGTTTGTGCACGTTTTCCCCTTCATTGTCTTGAGGTCGTTCTCTTCGGTTGTTTGTTAAACAGGACAAAAGGACTCTAGTCTGGTCCCTTGTGTCCTGAGTGGGACAGTAATAAAAAATCGGCCCAGCTCGTCGTCGTGTTTTTCATGTTAAATGGAAGCCAGGTTGTCGGGGCACTCGCTGATCCCTCTGCATAGATGGATCTTTAGATCGTATAGATCGATTTCTACACATGCTGTCTCACTTTGGAGGAGCCAAAGGTGCATGCCACTAATTTGGCCATCCTTTAACATTATTTTATATATTAAATTGATGGGTCCAGTAATGCGGTGTCCTGCCTGTGTGTATTTATTTATCATTGTCCCTTTTTGGTCCTTAGAAGTCATACTTTGGGTAGTCCATCTAAACCACAGCCGGTCCACCTAATACATATGTACCTGTACATGCGTGTGTGTGAGCTCATACAGTACCTCAGAGCGCGTGACAGGAACAGAACTGATGCCGGCATTGACGGCGGTCCAGGAGCGAGAGGTGACCACGCAGGCAAACAGGGCGTACAGGTCTCCAGCTCCCAGTCTCAGGCTGTAGCGTTCCACCCCAGACATGTCACCTTTTATCAGAGCCTGCCAAAGCCGACAATAGTCCAACCTGAAGGCCGGCTGAAGGACCTGGAAGGTGAGATGTTTTTTGTTAGGGTTGAATCTACTAGATTGATCATTTGTTGTAAACTACTATAGTTTTGTAGCCGGATGTGTGGCTGTGTGAATGCATACTGCCAATAAAACATCGGATGCAACTGGCTGAGTTGGTTGGTGGGAAACCTAGGAGTGTTCATCCTGCCTTGCTGTCTGGTTAGGGATGGTTGTCACACCCTTCGGAGGGTCCCACATGAGACACTCCTGTTGTGGACGGTGGAGGCTGACAGTATGGAGGGAGGCAAAGCCCGGCATTGTGTAGCACTCTCCATTCCCAAAGCGGCTAAGAGCTTTTTTCTCCTTCTCCAAATGATTTCCACACTACTTTTCAGAATGTGCCATCAGAACAAACGGGCGACCTGAGAGACACGGCGGGGCCAGCAGCACAACCTGATAGGCAGAGCGCCACCATCAGGTTGCAGATGTTATGCACGGTGGCCTTGATTGCCGGAGCACTGTGTCTTGGCGGAAAGGGACGGACGTACGGTGGGACAGATAGGGCGGGTGAATGGACGGATGGGCAGCCGACAGCCACCAGTATTTGGGTACGCACGCTCTCTGTCCGCTAGTGCATGTGTCCCGTTTGCCCCTCTTAGTCTAGAGGGGGGCCGGTTGGGGTCACATCTGTTCAATCAAACATAAAGCAAATACTCAGTAACAATTAAAACATGTCTCCAAAAACCCCTCGTACAATTTAGACCACCACTTTGTACAGCTGTCACAAAGGGAATTCAAAACCATGCAACCACGAGTGAGTGTTAGGACAAGGACAAGAGGAGAAGGACGCCAAAGCACAGGGGAGGAAATAGGACAGAGAGACGAAGGACAGAGGATAACAGAAGAGGAAAAGGGACAAAAAGACACAGTACAGGAGGACACAAAGAGGACGAGCACAGGACAGGTGAATGGAGAAGCATAGATAGCAGGACAGAAGACAGCGTTGTGCTCTGTGGCAGGCAACCAGCCTCCAGCAATGCAACGCAACGCGGCGGTGCAAAGGAGGCTCCCAAATGTCTCCTGTCAGACTGCGTTAATCAGCTGATCAATACCGAGAGACAGCCATTTACACAGAATCCAATTAGCCAGGAAACTGGACCCAACACCCTGACCAACGCGTCCAGGTTATTTACACGTCTCGAATGGCAGTTGACATATTTCTGGGCAGATTTGTATTGTGGAGCTCGAGTCAGACGTTGTCTCACTCTCTGGCTTCTCAGGCCGAGTAAATGTCACATGGGTACAAGCAGCACAGGCACGCCATCGTTTTGATCCAGTGTAGTGACGAGTGAACTGAGGCAATATTCTTTGAACCAGATTCTGACGCTGATGTAAAACTAATGAAACATAACCATGATTATGAAACAAGTCAAATATATAACAAGCTGGTTTTTTTATAAGTTTAGACTTTTTTCAACATGTTAAGGTTTAAATGGTGTCTGTAGCTGAAAGATTGGCGAAGCAGAACAATGTGAAAGTGTATTAGTGAGAGGACTCCATTGGAATACCATGTTAAAAAAGGTTTAGGAATTTGATTCATATAAATTCAAGCATAAGAGGTAGAAAGCTGAAAGTCCCTCTCCTGAACGAGCTGAACATTTTAATATTTGAACGGTTTTAATAGATGAAAATGTTGAAAGGAAGAAATAGAAGATGTTGGACTACTTGGCCCTTTGTTACATGACTTCCTTTAGACACATTAGTCCCTCATTTAAGAAACCTCTCCCGCTTCCAGACAACTACAGCCCCTCACACACAGATGCATTATGTGGTAATGTGTGTATGTCCCTTTGTGTGGGAGTGTGTGTCCATGAGGGGATTATTTTGTACTAAAAAATGACAGCTGAAATCAGAAGTCATTAGGAATAAATTGGTGCCATTATGGTCAGAGAAGTGTGTGTGTGTGTGTGTGTATCAGAGATAAGGCAGTAGCTTATCTGTTGTACCACGGTCTCTCCATGAAAACAGGAACAAAAGGTTAACAAACACATGTCAGATCTGTGGACGTCCGTGTCAACCTGCAGGCATTTGTGGAAAGAAGTGTGTTGATCAGTGTGTGTGTGTGTGTGTGTGTGTGCGCTCGTAGAACATAAGAGTGCATATATAAGCCTGTATGATTACGGCTCGGGTGCACCAATCCAAACACAGCACACTGCACTTTGCTAAGAACAACATCAAATGAGTTGTTTATCAAAAAGCTTTTATCCGGCTGTAGCTGTAATGAAAGCGTGTCTTTTATGGCCGTGTCGACTGGGTTTGCTGCTCTCCCCATTAACTGAAGGTCTAAGCCAGTAGCATGAGAAACGTTTTCACAACAAACGGTATTTTCTTGTGCAGGCCGCCGGCTTTCTCACCTGATAAAGGCCGTGATCCAGCAGGGCAATCTGAGTCTTCCCGCTGCGGGGACACTTTCGCACCAACACATTGCCTGGATGCGGGTCACAGTGAACAAAGCCATGGACGAAGATCATTTCGCTGTACATCTTACCCAGATTCTCAGAGATCTGCAGGGACATGACAATGGTACAAGATAAGGTGAATAAATGCTACAATGACACTTCAAAGACAACAAGTGTAAAATGCTACAACTGTTTTAGGAGGAACGAACGATTTGGGCTTTGTCACGATATTTATAGCAAATAGGACCAGAGCTAATAAAAATGAGTTTTCTAATATACAGCTGCATAACCCTTAGAGATATAGCAAAAACCTCGCTGCTGTTGTCTTCTAAAGATTGACTTATGTCAATTAAATCCGATGTCTGAATAGTCTCCAGAGAAAATGTAAGAACCCATGTCATATAACAAAGGCTGAAATATTAGAGAAGGGAATTTATTCCAAAGTTTAGTTTATTCACATATACGGGAATTGAGAAGAGCAGAATTAATGCAATTGTTCCGTCCGTCATCGATCAATTGGTGCTCTTTGGGTTGGTAAACCATCGTGGGCAATGAAACAGGATTAACCAGTTAACAGGGAAGAAGCATTTATATGCCATCTGAAGTCCTCTGGATTATGAGCAGGGGTCCCCACACTTTTATGGCTCGCTAGCTACTTTTCAACTAACCAGGTCGTGGCGATGCCGGCTGGGTTGCTTTGGAAGGAAATTAAATCCGTCCGTTAGTAAGCAAGAATTGCTAAACCCCATTAACATTAGTTTGGGTCGTCTCTCGCGGTAGACCGTGCATGTGGGACATGGCACGCGATCGACTGGTACTGCCTTTGAGACTATTGAGCACCCCTGATGTACAGCATCATTCATAGAAAATATGAAACATTTGGAGTCATGAACCGAGGATTGGATTGGCCAATGTTCAAACAAAACAATCTTTTTTTTCATAATTTTAAATTAGTGACTTTGATTGACGTTCAGCTAGCGTAAACTGTTTTTGTACAATGTTGAAATACATTTTTAAATGAAATACTACTTTAGTTAATGTGTTGAAGAACTAGTGTGTATTTTCAGTAAAAGCAATACTGCTGTGTCACCTTTTACTAAATTAAAGCTGCAAACAAAAAACCCTTAAAACCAATCATCACTAAATGATATATTAAGACATCACAACTACTCCAACTAGATTAAAAATACTTCTCACTTTAAAGCCACTCTCTCTCACACAAAAACATACACGTTTATTCATTCAGAGGCTTCCAGAGAGCCTGCAGGCAGTACCTGGTTAACATTGATGCCGTGTTTCTTCATGTAGTCCCTGTCATTGATGTGCCCCCCCTCAACAAACTCCATGGTCAGGATTCTCTTTGTGGACAAATCCCAATGGATCAAGGGAACCTGTAGACAGTGGGAGTTCTCACCACATTACACTAGATTCCTCAGTGGCAACTCAACACTGTTGTGTTACTATGACAACAATCAGAGCTGAATTGTATGTCTGTATCACCGTTAAATTGTTTGAAATAATAATTGTTGGACAATCAGAAATTTAAAATGTGTGTGGGTAAAGTGTGCACTACTTTACAAGTAATCCTTGTAGGGGTGCTTGTACTGTAATTGTGTGTACCTTGAGAAAAGAGAAGTGGGCCAGCATGTTGGCCACCTTCTCAGCGTTGTGGCCCTCGTTTAGGAAGTCCAGCTCTAGTGGCAAGTTCTTCTTGGCCTCCTCCACCAACCACATGAAGGCAAAATTTGGGAAGAGCCAATGGACTGCCTTCAACATCACCTTCAAACAACAATTCACAAAGAGTCTTACTTTCAAATACAGAACAAGTATATAGACACGGGAAGGCATTTCAAAGTGCTTCACATGAAACACATCAAAAGCATAAAAACATCCGGCAAACGATAAACACTTAAGACCGTTGATCATATATCGTAAAGAGCTGAAAAAGCACCTAAAAAGTTGATCTGGCTTTATTTGTTTGGATAACATTTGTCCTGGATTATATTCACTATGTTTCCATTCAGTTAAAATGTCTCCAGAATATCTAGCTAACATTACGTGATGCTGTCTTTCTGGACAGAGCATGCGCAGATGTTGTGTTAAAGTATATTGTTGTATAGCAGTGGTCACCAACCTGTTGGAGCCCAAGATCCCTGACCTCTGCCTTGGTTACAAGCAAGATCTACCTATTGAGGCTGTCCTCACTAAACTTTTTATTTGCCCTAATGTAATTAATTATGTAATTGAATGAAATCAAACACTTTGATCCAGCTTTCAAATTGATGTGACCAAGAAGACACTAAATGTGCTGTTATCTCTTGTCTTCTCTCTTGTCCTTGGCACTGGGACCAGCTGGGTGAGGCAGAAATGATGTATGTATGTATATATATATATTATATATATATATATATATATCCCTCCCACCCCGGACAAAACCTGTTTGTGTCCCTTCCATCTGGCAGGAGGCTGAGGTCCATCAGGACTAAGACCTCCCGCCACACCAACAGTTTCTTCCCGTCGGCAGTCGGGCTCATCAACAGAGCCGGTCCCCCACTGACTGACTATAACATCCCACCGGTCACTCCCCTTCACACTGCACACGTCACTTTAACTGTAATTCCTCACTTTGTCACTTGTCACTTTGTCACTTGTCTGTTACTTGTTTGTTAGTGCACTTTATGCTTAATATTTCTTTTTAACTTTCTAATATTTAAAATGTTTAACTTTATTCCCTTGTTTTATACTAACCCATAGACTTATTCTACTAACCCATTGCATTAGCATTTCATTTTACTTTATTTTATTACTTGTGCACTGCTGTCTTGTCTGTCTACTGCCGCGCATTTGTCAAGACAAGACAAATTCCTTGTATGTTTGGCATATTTTGGCAAATAAATGTTTCCTGATTCCTGATTCCTGATCCAAATCCAAACTTGCCAGAAAGGCGATTTCTGGCAATCTCGCAATCTGGCACATCAAAAAAGAGTGGACAAATATTACCAAGTCAAGAATTGCCATGCTTAGGAACTCTATTCCCGTGAGTGCCGTCATAATATCAAAAGGTGCTTCAACAAAGTATTACGTTAAAGTTGTGCATATTTATGGAACTAGGTTATTTTTTGTCTTTCCTTACACCTGTCTGTTTTAATCTAAGCTGTCATATGCATTGAATCTACTGTACATATTTGACGTTGTTCATTCTGTACACATGGCATCCATTGCCTTCTGTCCATCCTGAGAGGGCCGCTGCCCGCTGAGCCTTCAGCAAGATTTGACGTAAGCAGCAGTTGGATCACTTCTAACTTTGGTTCAATGCTTCGTTGTAATGAGAGCAAGCCAACGAAACGTAAATATTCATCCTTGGTTGATCTCCAGATGGCAGGGAGGACAAGGTCACACAAGGTCACACAAGGTCACACAAGGTCACACAACCCTAAAAGATAATACCTGCTCTCAAAGACACTCAACCCCAAATGAGGTCAGTTTGTGAATGGGTGTGACCTGTGGTGTGGATCTCGTGTGGAAGGTTAACCCCTACCAGACGAGGGGAGCGGTGAAGAACAAACGCTGTATGTCTCTCGTGCTGGCGGCTATCGGTCATTCTGGCAGCCGCCACATGGGATGCAGAAGTGACTCAGATGCTTGGTCAGCCTTTGACAATTCCACAGTTCTTGGAGGTTTCGGTTTCAGGAGGTGGCAGTAATACTACCGACTATGGACTTGACGACAAACCCGTCTTGTGAAGTGTGTTGTTAGCCATTAAGGGGTTCCCACCATCGTTTGGTCGAACTTGAGGAATTCTTTAAGTTCAAGAGGTATATGATTGGATGTTTTTTAGTTGAATCTTCACATCGAAGTAAGAACATATTCAGTGGACACTTTAAGCCTCTGTCAGCAGCTGTGTTAAGGCACTATTGACTTGTCCGTTAGTACCATGTGGACTGATGGACATGTTTACAGGTTGGGTTAGGTTGTAAAGAGAGGGTATGTCTGTGGCCAGTATATCACATTTATCTCTGCACATTTACAAGGTAAGTTAGACACAAACTCACCTCCATGATCACGATGTCCCTGGAGCTCTGCTTCTGGACTTTGGGGTGTTGTACCTTGATGGCCACAGTCCTCCCATCATGCAGGACTGCCTTGTGGACTTGGGCTAAAGAAGCTGCACCCTGAGGCTTCACCTCAAAGGAAACAAATAACTCCGACAGCTGAAAAAGAAAGATTTGACCAAAAGGGAAAGAGTGGGAGGAATAAAGACAGAAGGGACAGTGGTATGGATTAGGTAGTGGGATATTAGAGGGATCATCAATTTCATCTTCATCATTTACAACGCTTTTATTAGACGCTGTTCAACCGAAAGAAATTACAGACAGAGAGGTCAACATGTGCTCATAAATATGATTCAATGTTACACAAAATCAACTGCATCATGGTTGTATGTGCTCGTTTCTGAAACCTAACTGACTTGGACCAAAGTGCAGGAGACAAACGGAGTTCCCAACCCCATTGATTATATATATATATATATATATATTTAGAAATGTGTATCTTCACAGACGGTCGGTGTGGTCTGTGCTGGCGGCAGCTGAGAGGCTCAGGAAACGGAGCCAGGTGGAGGTGTAACTGACCTCAGCTGCCTCGTATGTGTATGTGTGCTGCGCGTAGCGGCGACGCGACGTGGTCTGAAACCACAGATGGGGAAGAGGAAATGGCGCAGCTTCCCGTGGAGGCCACAGAAGATCTTCTACTGGCGCAGTGTCGGGACAACACTCTACGCCAGAGGTCTTCAACAGGGGGTCTGCGACCCCCAAGGGGTCCGCGAAGGTACTGCAGGGGGGGTCGCAAAGTTTTTGGTTGATAAGACAATTTTTCCCCACAAATGTAAATGTCTTCAGAATCAGAATTTATTTAAGGTCTTTAAATACACATTAACATGAATCCAACATATTAAAGCGAACGGATAACTTGATGCAGAAGACGTGATCTGTCAGTGCGCAACACACACACTCCGCTTCCCTCAGCAGCTCTCAAGCTGCTCACCGGTTCCCTCACTGCTCCTTTCATGCTGATACGACCAGCCAATCAGATCGCGTTCATGCTCACGTCTAAAGAGCGTGAAGCTCAACAATAAAAGATGGCGGACCAAACTCCGTAGAATAGGGGGTCCCTGCTGCACCTCGCCATCAGTTTGGGGGACCTCTGCTCTACGCTCAGCCTTTGACCAAGTGATATGAATTGATGGTGATATCTGGACTTTCGAGTAGATTGATGTCAATAGTTTCATTTCACACTAGCTATTAGCCAAAACAATCCCCTACAATATTATCTTTATAGATAAAGCACTTTTTAAAAGAGTTTACAAAGTGCTTTGAAATACAAACCAAGGCAACATACATCTCAACAGTGAGGCAGGTACCATGAAGGTGAAATGCCATAAGCGAAGCACTTAGAACAGGGCCTTAGAGGACGGTTGCATTGTCTATTCAAAATACACATTGATCCTAATTTAGGATTTTCACAGTAATTTATGGTATATACATACAGTAATATAAGACAGCAGTAATTCCAGGCAGACAAGAATTAACGGGTGCATTTAAATCTAAATGTTAAAGCAATCTGCAGTGTAGTGTGCGGAGAAAGGCGCCGATTACCTGATGAGCTGAAGGTTTCGTAAATGCAATTTGAACTAAAGTATGACAGCGAGCGCTATCTGCAGGTTTGCAAATGTACGTACACGGGCCTCAGGCTCTCCCCTGTGTTTGTGTATATCTCACTCGAGTCGAGAGCTATTTTATGGGAAAATACATATTTGAAAGCAGAGTAGCATTACTTGACAGGATTTACAACACATGTCATTGGACATTGTGTTTGTTGACTGTCGAAATAAAAGGATTCTTAATTCACGGTTTGCCAATTAGTGACTGCTGCTGGTCTTCTTACTCCTCACACAGAAGTCAGCAGAGTCACACTACACAAACAACTAGGACTAGTTCTTGTGGTATTTAGCTTTGTTGACGAACAGTGAGAGAAAAAGGAACTAAATGAGTAAGAGTTGAAGTCAGGAAAATAGTCTTTATCCTGAAACCAATCACAGTCCGTTTATTAAAGCTTTAATATGGTCAGCCATGGGGCGGTCAGGTACAATCTGTATTCATTAGAACGGGATATAAAGACACCCACAAACTGAGCCCCCAGTGTGCCCTTACAGCAAAGGTAGTCCCTCATTAGCCTATTGTGTATTTTGTTTTATTCATATAGGATATGTTTTTTTCACGTTCTGATTCTAATGTCTAACTATTCTAACAAAGAAAACGTTCTTTGTTCTGTGGAATAGCGTACTTTTATTACTAAGCTATCATATTAAAGAGCTTTTGTCTGAAGAAATGTGTAAATATGAGCGCTTGTACAAGCCGTCGTTGGCGGACTATGAGGACGCCGGATGGCCTCTGATTCATGGAGGGAGATCTCCACCAACGAGGGGACAAAGTCGTGGAGGAAAATACGGGACAAATGTGTCCTTGATGAAAAGCAGCAGTGTGGATGCACGGGGCAATAAAGTCTATGATCAATAAATAAAGCAACCAACGACTTCAACACACAAAGACGTGACTCTCCAGGTCGTCTTCAACAGAACACGTGACTCCACCTGTTGTTCTGGAGGTGAATCGCTCTGCAACACACGCAGGACTTTACAACCAGGAAGTGAAACCAGTGCCTTAAGACCAAGGCTGACTTTCAAATGCAGTGTTCTGCTGCAGGACATAAAACCCCCAAAGGGAATGTGCCTTCACACCGAGGTGGGATCTCTCTCTGGGTGAAACAGCCCTGAGATCTGATTGGCCAAGCCAGACACCCCAGGGGTCCCCCTGGTGTCTACTGTGAGTTCCCCTTCTCATACTTTCTATCCGGACTGACCTCAGGTCGGTGTGAGGTTAGAGACAGTCTCTCCTAACTGTTTCCGGACTGACCTCAGGTCGGTGTGAGGTTAGAGACAGCCTCTCCTAACTGTTTCTGGACTGACCTCAGGTCGGTGTGAGGTTAGAGACAGTCTCTCCTAACTGTTTCTGGACTGACCTCAGGTCGGTGTGAGGTTAAAGACAGTCTCTCCTAACTGTTTCCGGACTGACCTCAGGTCGGTGTGAGGTTAGAGACAGTCTCTCCTAACTGTTTCTGGACTGACCTCAGGTCGGTGTGAGGTTAGAGACAGCCTCTCCTAACTGTTTCCGGACTGACCTCAGGTCGGTGTGAGGTTAAAGACAGTCTCTCCTAACTTTTTCCGGACTGACCTCAGGTCGGTGTGAGGTTAAAGACAGTCTCTCCTAACTGTTTCTGGACTGACCTCAGGTCGGTGTGAGGTTAAAGACAGTCTCTCCTGAATCTTTCCGAACGGACTCTGGTCAGTGCAAGGATGAGACAACACAGCCTCTTCAAATCAACTTTCCGGACTAAGGATTCAGGCCTCTCCAACCATTTTCTAGCTGCTCCAGAGAAGTCCGGCTCCCCCAGTCCCCACTTCTGGCCCAAGCAGCTCACCAAGAAGGAAAACTTCTTCTACCCCCTTGGATACAACTTGTGTTCCCTGCAACAAAGGACAGAGTTAAATGAAACTCAAGCAAAGACAGACAACCCTATGAACGCACAGTAAGGCCAAGTCTGGGCTCAATTTCACACTAGCTATTAACCAACACATTACCCCGACGTCGTGCCCAGCAAATGGTGCCCCGCGTAAGGCCGCTCCCAACAGCGCTCACAGCGAGGGATCGCAGGGAGTATTGAACTCTGGTATCGCAAGTATCGGGTATCTTGATATTTCTGTGATTGAGGTTGATACCACTGTTCTAGCCTAACCAACACCTGCCTCACGCACTGGCAGATGAAGCTTTTGGAGCGCAACACAACAGCGAAACGTAAATGTGCAACTAAAAATCAGGGAGAAAAAGAAAGGTGTCTTTGGGAAACCAGAGTGGAGATACAACACACACCACCACTGATACCTCTGATGTCCACACGTGGTATGTTCTGTTCCTCTCTACAATATCCTTCATACTAATCCCACCCTCTGATTCCAGTGTCTTCATTGTCTGAACTTTCTCTGTGGACGTTCATCCCTTAAGGCTCTGTAGGTATATGCATAACGATCTGATACGAGCCCTGAGAGAAGCATATCTAGAAAACTATACCTGGAGTGTTACAATAGCCAGTATCATTTTATTCCATGTTGGATAGAACTTCAATGGTCTGATCAGCCCGTCTGCTATTCTCATTGAGTTCTGCATAGTCCAACTAAGACCTGAAGATTTCCCCAGGGGTATATGCAATGTATCAGGCTATGGTATTGTAATTACCTCTTTCTTCATCATCTCATACATTCTAGTACGTAGCATGCTAAGCTAGTGTCGGCTTTGGCTTGGTCAGACTATTGTATTGTGGGGGGAATTCCCCAGCAGTTTATACCTAGTGAAACATTAAAAAGAGGCTAATTTGAACACAATGTTGGCCCATCGGGGATAGAGGCTCAACGTGCACCCTGTAGAAGATGCATCAGATGATGAATTATGCAAGAAGCTTGGGATCTGGTGTGGAAACAGCTGAGATGTATTATGCAAATATGCTAAATGAATGTAATCGTGTACAGCCAGCAGTGTCTACGTACTATGACAAAGAGCCCCCAACAGGATCTGTTAAAGAAACATGCAGTTTCTCAGGTGGACTTAAAGCAGCACCGTGAAATCAGAGAAATCTCAATGAAATCTAAACATTACATTTTGCGACATAGACATTTGTGTATTATTTGGATTACTTTCCGACACAGTTAAAAAAGAAGAAAGTTGGCACTGTGACCTCTGACTCATATCAGCCACGCACTGCATATATGCTAATGTCAGCAGTGGAGTTAATAAACATGTTAATGTATGCGCTTGGGTCTGGCTCCCAGATTGCAAACCCGTAGTGACATACGTTCCCTGAAATGAGTTATGGCACAAATAAAATGGCCCCTGAGGCCTCAGTTGGATGGTAACACGTCGGTGCCTGCGTCAACGTAGCAAGCCAGCCACAGCCCCAGCTGGATGAAGACACATTAATCATCACGCCACAGAAGAGAATAAATGAGAGCAATTGCTCTATTGAGTAGAAGAAATCAAAGTGTGCACAGACATCCCTGTCAAATTGTCTAAATGTCAGACTCGGGCTGGTAGCAGACCTTTACTCTTGATTCCTCATGTTTTGTCAAGAAGCCTCCCGCCCTCTCGCTAGTTGTCCACTGCATGCCACCGGCTCGTCGTCCCTTACAGTTTACATGCATGCAGACATGCCTCCCTTCCTTTACAGCCCATCTGCAGCATCTGATGCTTTGTGGATCCTCACTTAGCTGGCACCTGATTTTCTTTTGAGTCGGCCTGCACAGTCCAGCACATCCGCTGCCCCCGGACCTTAATTCCCTTCCATACTTATGAGTATCACCGTTACTCTAAAAGCACTTCTCTAGCCCTACAATCAGTACGATTTGACGTTGTTGTAGCAGTCATGTCACCCTTTGTCTCTTACCCTTGCATCCCCCACACCTCACTTTTGACGTTTTGAGTCCTTTGCACACACGCTAGATGATAGCTGGTGCATGTATATGTCCTGCTCACACTTCAAACTCAACACTTCCTGCACAAATGATTCATGTCGAGAGGAGTGAATGCAAATAGCACAACATCGTTCTGCAGGTTTTTTCTTACCATAGTGTTACATGAAGAGGGAATTCAAATTTTCAAAGTGAAAAATATCTCACATTTTAAGTGGAAGATTATGGATTTGGTTACAAATGCTGCTCAGCACATTGAGCAAAATCATTATGGTTTTTACTACTTTCTATTTTGCCTTTCCAACACAACTGGACAGTCCTTCACACATAATAAATAATCCAAAGAATATTAGTATCAATAGTTTAGCTTTAGGAGTATAGATGCTAGGCTTTACATACATGCACATCTACGCCGACAAATGCTTATATATGAGCATCTACACATATACAACCATCTACATCCACATGCATACCCGCACAGCATACCTATGCACACACCTCCCCACATGGATTTACTGTTACACATACTCTCACTCTCAATCATTGCAAATGCACACAGAAAGATTCACAAATAGATTCGACTTAGAAAACATTTCAATGCACACGAGTTATGTTTATATTTGTAGATGCATTTGTTGCGGATCGCGTCACACTTGCGTGGGGTTTTTGAGACTCGTCTGATGTGAGTAGATCCACAACATGGACACATCTGCAGCCAGTCAGATGTCGCCCTCATTTTCAACCAATCACAAGAGCCTCCCCACTGCCAGCGATACAGGTCCGACGTCAGCAAACAATGGCGTCTGGTAGCGACGACGCCTACACAACTCGCCACGTTCTATCTCCAACTATAGCATTCAGGTCCAATTCCCACTTTTCCTTGATGTTCAATGTATTTGGCGAATTGTCTTTATACATGTGGCAGATGTGGGTTTTAGTTGGAAAACGTTTTTTCTGGAATACTAATAAAATAGTATTCTATTACATAATCTGACTACCTGTGTTTATTTGTTTGTAACATAGTGTCACATTTGAAGGTACAAGTCATTTGATTGAGGTCAAATAATTGGTGATAGTTTTAGGACCTTCATCAGCCCATCTTCTAAATCCACTGCCCCACATAGGAGGGAAGTCATGAGAGGGGGCTTGGTCCCTCAAGTGCTTTTTTTATTATTGTCCAAATCTTCATGATGTTTTATAAAAAGCTAAATGTAATTTGCAAAAAGAGACACCTTTGTCGACTATTTTTTTAATTTGTATATTTTGGCATTTAGTTCAGCTTCACTGCTGCTTTAATGTGCTACGGTCACGACCGGGCAGCTGGAGGCAGGACTCAAACGCAGAGTTGGAAAACAAAAAGGGACTTCAATAGTGCAAAAACGCAGGCAGGAAGCAGGAACAGGCAAGACACTGAGGGCAGGACACCCAGGATTCACATTCAACATCCAGGGTTGAACAATCAATGACGCGACAAAGGACAAGAGACACACAGGAAGGTGCAGGTGATTGGACACGGCAGACAATCACAGGACAAGGTAGGAAGCAAAGTTACCCAGGGACACCAGAGGCAGGAAGCTACTAAATGAAACAGGAAGCACAGCTCCTCTGAGGCTTTGTGCTGTGTGGATGTCTGTCACCATGTACGCTTTGTCCTCGTTATGAAGGGACCACAAATGCAAATGAGCTCAATCTGGTACAGTGAAACAAATTCAAGCTTGAACTGTAAACGGTTGTTTTATAACAAAATAACCAAAGGCTATTAAAATGTACCTCCTTGCCGAGGTCTTCTCTGATGACCTGCTGGATCTCCTCCATACTGCTTTGAGGAGCTTGGCTGTGGAGCACCTTCAGCGTGGATGTGTACTCCTCAGGCAGCAGGTAGTCCAGAGCACCGAGGTGCTGGCCCACCTTTATGAAAGTACCCCGGTTGGCACAGCACAAATCTCGAAGACGCTCCGCGGATCGCAGGTGCACCTACATGCCAGACAGAGGAAACGGAGTCTCAATGACTGCAGGGAACATCTACATGGTACGAGAAAATGACTTCTGAGCCCAGTAAAAAACTCTTTCCCAAGTGATGAGAAATGATGGACAGATCCCAGTGAAGAAGGATGCTTCATCTGTATACATCCACGTGTGATACAGAGGTAACATGTTAGCATGCAGCTAAGGGCCCTGTAAGCAGTGACAAGGTGGAAAATGTTTAGGTAATGATGAGATTCTGCCAACTAGAGTTGGACAAAGATCAAGATGTTCACAATTGAATCAGAAGATTCTTAGCTGTCCAAAAATATATATTACTTAAAAATAGCAGTTGTGTAGTTGTGCCGTTTCCCCTCTTAGGTCAAGTATCGTGAGAAGGACGTGTCCGAGCACCGCTAACCCTACCAACATTAGTCACAGTTCCCCAAGGTTATGTGCTTTGGCCTTTTGTCATCACCTTCTATGCTTCCTTTGGGCGATATTATTAGAACACTCCATAAACTATCATTGTCCTGCAGACGACATTCAACTAGATCTATAAAGCCAGACAAAATCAACCAGCAACTTCCTGGTGTCATTTTATCAGAATCAGAAGCCATTTATTACTGTGTATGTTACACATACAGGTGATTGGTGGTTTTACGGGACAAACACGGTAGAATAAAATGAAAGAATGGACCGCAGCCTCCTGCCAGAGGGAAGGGGCTCAAAAGGTTTGGGTCTGGGGTGAGAGGGGTCGGCTACAATATTTTCTGCCAATCCAGGCGCAGAATACCTCCAGTCCTCTAGTGATGATAAATGGATTTTACTGATTGATTGAGCACTTTTCTCTTTCACTCACTAATGACAGAAGCTACCATACACACATCAGTAACTTACAATCACACCATTCACAGCTAGAGGGGCAATGTGCCTTGCCCAAGGACACATCCACAAAGAAGTAGTTCCGGGCCTCTGTGGCAAATTTGTGATTTGAGGCTATAGAAAATAAATTGAATGGGAGATGTAACGGTTTTTTAATAATATACAACCTTTAAAAACAAGTTTATTGTTCTAATGCGACAGTGGAGAGATGAGGAAGCTCAAGGGTAGACGTGGCCACTACTGCTGATTGGCAAGAATCTGTAGTCTAGAACAACCGTCACTAACTTACAGGCGTTCGGTGTGTGTGTCTCCGGTGAGTGGACGTTTCATAACGTCTTCACGCGGTGGCAGCAGGACGCCGGTGATGACGAGCGGAGCATCTCAACGCTGATTGGCTCTCGATAGACAGCGTCGGGCGAATTTCCCCCCAAAAATGTTGAATGTTGAAATACTTCAACTTTAGCAAAAAGGAGATTTATTCGCTTTTCTCCTTTGCGTCCGGCTTGCAGCAGGTCCTTCACGCCGCCCACTGAAAATGATTTTGCAAATAATTCTCTCAGCTTTTGGTGTGAACGTAGCGTAAACATTTTGGTTGTTCTTTTTTTATCAAAAACGTTTGTATTTTTAAATATGTTTACTATCATTGATTTATTTTTATTACATATTATTATTAAAAGGTGATCTGTGAAACTTTGCTCCTCAAACAAGGAGCCCGTCGTTCCGCTCGGTATCGTGTCAGAAAGGTCGGTGACCCCTGGTCTCAGGGTGTTTCCATGGTCTAGACATCGCGGGGGGTCCGCCGGACGCTAGTCGCCGGGGGGCTTTTCGTGTGGCTTTGCTTCGTCGGCCGCCGAGCACTCAGAGAGTCCCGGCGCGTTTCGCTTAACAAACGTTCATAAAAGGAAGGAAACATATACTCTACATATTTTCTGCTGTATCTTGGGGAGGACAGATTTACATTTTCTCAATATTGGGGCGACACGACCCCACCAAAGAATGCGCCATTATGCCCTCGCCTGGTCTAGAAGGTCGTCTGAAAGCAATCAACACCACTTCTTACTTTTCCTTTATTCCAATATAATCTGAAAGGTTGTTCCATCAATCACCAGCTGCTGGTTTACTCAGTGGGACGACGATACTGGCTGCTGTGACCGATTATTCTGTGAGCTAGAAATGTCCTGTAACACTGCTCAAACAGTCTATGCCTGTATGTATGGAAGGGCCTTGAATGGCGCGCGTGTGTGTGTGTGTGTGCGTGTGCGTGCGTGTGCGTGTGCGTGTGTGTGTGTGTGTGCGTGTGTGTGTGCGTGTGTGTGTGTGCGTGTGTGTGTGTGTGTGTGTGTGTGTGCGTGTGCGTGTGCGCGTGTGTGTGTGCGGTGGCCCCCTCCTGTCTCTGCCATTACAACCAGCTGGAAGCGTTAATGCTTGTAGAGAGCTCATCTCCAGAGACCAGTGCAAATAAAAAGCCGTGAAATTAGCTCCCCTTAACCTCTGTAACCCCATCAACACACACCACGAATACCCCCGAGCGCGCACACACACACACACACACACACACACTCCCACTGGGCCATTTGACAGAGTGTCATCTGGGCCATGATGACAAAGCAATGGTGGAAACAAGTCACCAGAGATTACCAGATGAGCCTTTCAGCTTGAATACAGCGCAGGGAGCCACGGATATCTGACCACACGGAACCACAATGCTAAAGACTTTGATGCGAGCATTAAACCATTACATTCTCTTACATTTACCTCATTTATTTTTGTAAAATACATTTTGACCAAAGTCGATCCTTTGTACATAAAGGACTGAGGAATTTAGGTCTAAATAAAAGGAATCCCAATAACTGTCCACTAAAAGATAAGAAATTAAAACAATCTTTTTTTATATATATATATATGGAAAAATACACATCTCACATGCTTTGTAAGAACTGTGGTGAGGTCAAAGCCAATGAATGAATTGGAAAGAAAACATGAGTTAGATCTAAAGGATCGCATTTATAAAAAATAAAAAAAGTCCTTTTTGGAGAATTTATTCACTGAACTTTTGAAAACAAGGTTTGTCTTGACTGGAAACTTATTTAGATGTTTTTTTGATATTCATTAAATGCAAATAAACAGTTTAAAGAGGTAGCAGATTATAGATGCTAAATTCAGTTTGTAAAACCTCCAGGATTAACAAGGGGCTGTGCTAAATGTGTGGCCCATTCTACATTTTAACACTAATTATTTTCATGATCTAGCATAATAGTATTTTCCAACCATTAAATTACACTTAAACACTGAATGAGTATACGTTTTTTTTCCATCTGCGTGGTTTTATATCCACTGTTGAATCTACGCTTTGTACTCAAATTTTAAACATTTCTTTGTATCTGAGTCATTCATTCATATTGGCTCTATCGAATTTCTTTTTTTAAGGTTGAAGTACAGAAAAAATGAGGAGGAGCTTCATACGTTATGTCGACATTCTAAAAGAATGAATAGCTTCATCGGTGTAACAACACGAGGCCAAACTATTCTGCAGTTCAACATTTTGACATGAAAAACGGTCTTGTTGGCTGTCGCGGGTCGAGCTGCGTCGCCGGAGACTCTTTGGGTCTCCTTTGCACAGATTTGAATTAAATAGCTCTGTCCTCTGGTGGGCGGATTGTAAACGTAATAAAACACGTGGATGAGGCTTGGGGAATGTGTCAAGAGGGACAACCACGTGGAATTGGGAAAGAACCGGGTCATTTCAGAAAATAACGTAAAATGAGGAAAAGGTCATTTATTCTGGCCCACAGATGGGCACCGGGCCGCTACTGCTGGAGACGCATTGTAAACGGTAAAATTGCAGTTTGTTTTTTAACAGTATCTTCAGCTTTTTTCTCCTCACCAGTGGTAGAAGCATTTCATCTCCCTTAATTGGACTGCTGAGTCGGACTGTCATCAGCACTCACACGTTACTTTGGATCAGGTCTGTAACAAGCTAAACAAGCTTTTATTAAGTATGGTACTATGTCATCATGAGATTACAGGGGAGCTTTTCACCCCACTGGGATTTGGGGACTACTGCAGTGACTTACAATTCACCCAATATATCAAGATCATCACTTAGTGAGAAGCTCCAGTCTTTCCAGACTGTGGGGGGAGAAACTAGAGCATCCCACTAAAGTAGGATAGAGGCTTCCATTGGCCCCTCTCCCACTTCCTATCCCAAACCCTGAGCGCCCTTGCTTGGACCTGTTCATTTGATATTACAATAATAATAATAATAATCTGTGGCGTTACGTGACGCTGTCTTGCAACACTATCCCGGTCACAAGATGTGTCCAGAGACCTAAAGAACTGAGAGGCCCTAAATATGAAGGGGTGCAACACAACCAGTCATCATGGATACATTAATGACCTCTTTTCTCATTTCTGGATCACTTTCATAAAAGTCACAATAGTGTGAAAGACATATATTTAAATAAATATATGGTTAATATTTGTCTTTCACCACAATGCCATCTGGTTTGCAAATTTAGCGTCTCTCTGATTCATGTGAACAACACATTTGTGAAATGAAAGACTTGTGCAGCGGTGGGACGGGAACAAAAGCAGGAAATGGCTGCCTCTTTTTAACTAGGTCTGAGCCAACTTGGAAAGAGGAGAGTGCATTTAAAACCCAAGACAGCCCAGGGACACCATGAGGGTTACTTTTTGGACATAAAGTTGCCCAGAGCGCCAGGAAGCACTACACATGCATGGTTACCGATTAGGAGGATGAACCGCAACATCTTTTTCTCCTCAATCTATAGGTCAAAACACTATATTTGGTTTATCTCATTGGAAATTCTAAGCAAACCTACAACAATAGATAAATAATGGCACGCTATTGTGTAACAGTCAAAAGAGTGTGTGTGTGTGTGTGTGTGTGTGTGTGTGTGTGTGTGCAGCTGGACAGCAGAGACCAGCTGCAGTAATTGATTCCTGCTGCCACACCAGGGCTAAATCACTGGGATTAGTGGAGTATGAACAAGACCTATTTATTACTGGGATGCTCATGATTAGCTCGTTATTCAGCTCACTGAGGCTCATCTAGCTGAGGGGGGGCAGCCTGTGTAGTCAAGGTGCCCGGGTGATACGTATTGCAG